GCTTGTTAAAACGTTTTTAAAATATACCAATGAACGGGAAAGCCAATATAGCAAAAAAGGAATTCCAAAGCGATTTGCTAGCCAAATTTCGAAAAGCAGCTTACGTAAGGACAATTACCATTAAAAAGGACATTAAAATAATATTAAAGCGCATTTTTAAAGCACAAGCAAAAAACGATTTTATTTAAAGCGGTATTTAAAAAAATAAGCTTAACGTTTAAAAAATTAGCAACGGCTTATTTAAATACAAAAAAAAGTTTAAATTCCGAATTTAGTACCGTTTAAATAAATAATGCTTTGGAAATAATACGATAGCCCAACGGGGGGTTACAAAAGCATAGCCAAAATTTTAAAAAAGTTTAAACGGTAATTTAAATAACCGGGTATGGCTAAAAACGTACGCAAATACGTGCGGACGTATTAAATATGCCAGCAAATAAAGCTAAAAATACAAGCATTTTACGGGCTGCTAGTACTTTTGCCCGTGCTAAACCGCCCGGGACAAAAATTATTAATGGATTTTATCGGAAAGTTTTTAACGTAAATAAATAAAGCCGGTAAAAAGCGTAACGCAATATTGGTAATAATTAACCGGTTTACCAAATATAGCTTTTTTATCCTAACGTTTACGAAATTAACCAATAAAAAATTGGAAAGCTTTTTGTTTGCATACGTTTGGGGGCTGCTAAAAACGCCCGAAAGGATTGTATCGAACCGAAATAAGCTATTTACAAATAGGTTTTAAATAACCTTTGCCAAATATTTAAAGGTTACAAAAAAGCTATCGATAGCATACCATTTTTAAACCAACGAGCAAACGGAACGAACGAACCAAGCAATAAAGCATTATTTCCGGTGCTTTTGCTACGAAAAGTAAAACGATTGGGCGTTGCTATTGCACTTAGCAGCGTAAATGCACAATACGAACGTGCATTTGGGGTTGCAAAAAACCCCGGCGTTTTTGCTAATAAAGTTTTACTTACGAAAGTTTTATAACTTTTGGGTAATTAAAAAAAAACTTTTGGCAACGGCTAAAATTAAGGCGGGGGCTTTAAAAGCAATTAAAAAACAAGCTAAAAAATTGTTAAAAAAAGCGAATAATATGTACAAAAAGTATTATAATAAAAGCAAAACCCCGGTGCTTTTCGGGGTAAGCAATTGGGTATTGCTAAATACGGCAAATATTAAAATAAAAAGGCCGTCGAAAAAGCTATCGAATAAATGGTTAAAACCTTTCCAAATTTTAAAAATGGTTGGGTTAACCGGTTTGGCGTTCCGGTTAAAACTTCCGGTAAATTACCGGATATATAACGTATTTCCGGCAAATTTATTGCGGGCGTTTAAAAAAAAGCCCGGCAAAAAACCAAAAAATAAAAAACCAAAAATTAAAAAAAAAAAAAATAACGACTTCGAAATAAAAGACTTTGCTAGGATATAAAGGGCTTTTGCGAAAACGAAAATATTTGGTTAAATGGATAGGTTACAACGAATCGAAAAATTTGTAAATTCCAAAAAGGATATTACAAAAAAATTATTTAAACGTATAAAGT